GAAAAACAACCTGTAATGAATTTTGTTATTCGGAAGACTATCTTTTTATGTAAATTAGATAAATAAAGTTAATTTTAAGAAAAATTTAAATAAACTTTTCATAAATAGGATTTGAAAAAAGATTTTAAAGAATAATATATAAAGATATAAAAAAATTTTTTTGAAAATAAATAATTTAAATATAAAAATAATTTTTAAACAATATATTTTTAAGATAAGTATTATTTTAAAACACTAAGAAATATTTTAATTTTTAAACAATGGAATACCGAATTCTGTACGAAAGACTGGTTTGTGATATAATCTAACCTAATGATTGAAAATATTATGGCCACTCCCACAGTTTTTATTGAACTGATCTGGATGACTTGAATGGGAAAGGTTATTAATTAAAACGAATTTAACAGCACGCAGATCATAAAAACCCAAAGATTCGGAGCGTGTATAGCCAAAACTACATATTCAGTAGGTTGTTTACAATTTAACGTTGAAAGTATTTATGCTAAGTTTATGAATGACGGTGAAACCGGCAGTAGACGCCAGGGTGTTGACCTGAAGAGAAAAAATATTAGGCCCAGACTGTGAACCTTGTATAGGTAGAAGACAGTTGTGTGGCCAGATGGATTACATTTTCTCACTAATAGCCGATAATCATATCAGGGTACACCATCTTACAGGCAAACAGTTGCTCCCCACATGTACAGCTAGTCATATGCAGGCTGGTGGTGGCAGTGTTATGCTTTGGGAGTCATCCTCATGGGCAGTTTTGAGCTCCATAGATGTGATAGATCACACCCTAATATCTCCGGACTATTATAACATAATTGCGGATTAGTTGCACCCATACATAGTGTTTGTTTTCCAGATTGAAACTGGACTCTTCTAGCTAAGCAAAGTCTCAACCCAGAAGGCTTGAATTAAAAGAGTGGTTCGAAGAGCATAATTATAAACGACAATTAATACTTTTAAAGACTTAAAAACACTTGAATTTATTACTCACAGCAATAGGATTTTATTGCAATTTAATCTTGCAAAATTAACTATTTAAAATGCAAGCAATAAAATTTCGCATAAAGGAGAAAAGTCTTAAATTAATGTTACCTATAATAACCAACAATGATTTTTGTCTGTGTAATGAGTTACACTGGGTTTGAGGTTATAGTTTTAAAAAATTAGCTTAATTAGTACAACGAAATAGACAAAATGACTTCGTTTATATAATTTCTGAATTTCAAAAACTCTCTGTAAAAAATCAGTCTGATTGGCAAATGACACAAAGAGTACCTTTCCTTATGGAACTGCTTTTTTAAATATTGCTTTAATAAAAATTGTTCTAATAAAAACTATTCGTATATCTTTCAGAATGTGGAGATGCATGCTATTAGTGCAAAATATTTCATTCAAATTTTATTTTAGAGTATCACCTTAAGTTTAAATTCTTTAAATCAAAAACCATTTTTATAAAAGTCAGTTTTTCACATTAATTTTAATTCATAATTCAGAACGAAATATTAAAACAGTAGAAAGGTTTGTGGCACTGGTTTAAAAATAAAGAATTCAAATTTTATAAGAATTCGAAGGAAATTTTTATATCGCTGAATCTCGTAAAAAATTTACTACAGATAACCGTTTATATTTATTAGGAAAATAAAGGTTTTAGAACATCAATAGTTTCTTTAATTATCAAAATAAGAATTTTTTTTTTACTTTTTTAAGTTTGAATTAGTTTTAGTAAATAATCAATAGTTTGATTATTTACTAATATATTTACTAAATGTGTTTTTTAAATATATTATTATTTGTTAAATATATTATTACTGATATATTTAACAGATATGTGCAAAGTTTTTTTAAAGAAAGTGTAATAAAAAAATCACTTATTTACTCATAAAAATATTGTGAAATAAACTATAACAATCAAGATATTGAGAATCAGAAAACTATTTTGCAATTTTAGAAAAAATAAAAAGTGTTTATAATTTTTATTTTCTCATTATTACGGGAAAAGAGAAATTGAATGTCCAACTGAAAAGATTAAAATATGTTATTGAAACGTTCTTTGAATGAATCGGCTTCAATAATTCGGCATAATACATACATATACTATTTAACTTGGGTAAATTCAATAAAATCTGAAATATTTCATACGCATAAGCAATATGTTATGAATCTTGGAATTTGTGTTTCATATTCTGTATTTTAAAAATGTCTTTTTTCTGTAAATGTAAATGCATATCATTCTTCCAAACATTCTACGAAATGGTGTTCGCCATAATGTAGTTGTATTTGGAATATAAACTGCGATTCAAGATATTTGGCACATATATTTGTACTCCTCTTTTTCTGGAATACCAATATATCCCCTAACCTTCAAACGAGAAATATGTTTAACGTACTATCAAAGACCACTTTGTCTTTTCCAGGTCCATTCTAAAACTCGGGAATGCAAAATACAAGATTCTATTAGTAAGACGATATAAACCATTTTATCGAGGTAGATAAACACACAACAGTTGCTCTGCTGAAATTGTGGGGAAAAAAAGGTCACTAGAAATCTCAGAAAATGCTAAATTAGACTGCACGTAAAATGTTTCAAAGACTTTATACAAAGTAGCTACATTTTTTGTAAAGAAACTAAAATTCTTACTTTACTAAAATGAACGTAATTTTGATCAATTTTTATTAGCACGTCAAGTGTTATTGCTTGCTTGTTCATTCAAATATTTATTCATCTATATTGTATTACATATGTACATGTATCTATATTGTATGCATATACACACCAACAGAGAGATAATGTAGTTAAGTAATATTTTTTGACATCTTTCCATTTTCTCAAGCAAACATAATTTATCTAATTTTCTAAAATGTATATATTTTTTAACTATTTTCACAGATAATATAACTATTAAATCAGATGCAAAAAACTGCATCAAAATAACTAAATTTTTTTGTATGTTATAAAAGAAAAGAGGTTTTGTATGTCTTTCTTGTATTTTGGACAAATCACGCCATTCACAACAATGTAATAATAATTCAGTAATCTTAGATAGTTTCTTCGAAAAAGTTAATATCCAAGATTTGTTTCCTTAAAAAGCTTTGTTATGTCTTTATACATGCTACATACTTAAACTCTCTCGAGTACACCTTTCCTTTTTCTGAGAGATATGGGCTGTGAATACAATTTGCGCTATAGTGGGAATAAAGTATTCCTCTTCAAATATTTTTTTGGTTTGAAAGCTCAAATTTGAAACATTTGGATAAATAGTTTAGAAGCTATATGGGTTCCCAGTTCACTTAAAAAAAATTTCATATCAAATTAAGATAAAAAGTACTGACACATTGAGTGCAACATCCGTAAAATCTATTTTACCATGAAATTAATTTTAACGAAAGAATCATTTTACAGTAAAATCTACTTTTATTATTATCGTAATTTTTACAGTAATATTTATTTAAGTACAGTGAATTTTATAGTAAATACTAATGTACAAATTACGGTATAGCAGACTTATTATTTTCTTCTAACCTGGTAATAAGCAAAATACCTAGTATTGAGCAAAATGTTTCCGAAGCATCTTTTTTATATAATTATTAGCTGTATCCTGAGCTCGTTACAATGCTTTCAGTTTGAATTGTATTTAAATATTGCATTTAAGTGAGGAAATGAGATTTGTTTTTGTGATTTGAAACGAGAATTTTATTTAATGCGGAAAAAAACCCAGTGATAGTCTCAGCAGTTAGTTCTAAAATTTTCTATCAGGCATGCATAGTGATGCGTTGTTGAGTGAGTCACACGGACTATGAGTCACATTTTGTATGATGATCTGAAACAAGTCTAGATCAACGGTATTTCTTCCGATATTAGCTGATCAATCTGATAGGATGCGATTTTTTCAAAAAGTCAAATCAATATGTGCTCATGTGGTAATCCTCTTTTTTGCCATTCATTGGAATACATCCAACACCGAGTCTGTTCAAAAACTTGACGCTTCACAATGAAATCAAGCAAAAAGTTTAAACTTTGGTTGGACACACGTGTGGTAATATCATGACAATCTGATGGCGATTGTCCCAGTAACAATGGCTCTTTAATTTCAACACAAACAGCATTGCATGTCAATGTAATAAATAAATCTGAGCACTCATGTACAAGCGGACATCATTGCATTCTGTGAATATTTATACATGTGCCTTGGACTTGTGCCTTGGACCTTGAACATGTGCCTTGGGCCTGTAAATGTAACCGTTTATCGTAACCGGCAATACAATTATTTTCCCCAAATCATTAGGATTACGGCGTTGTCATTAATTATTGCTTCCCTTAAATGAATATACTCTTCAGAACGTAATTTGGTTCGATTTAATCTAATATAGAGTAGACGTCCGATTTCAATATTTAGCAGACATATTGACAATGTATTGAGGAAATAATTATCAACATTTTAAAATATGATTTCTAGCGTTTTGGCGATTCATTAATATATATGTATAATAATTCACTGCACTAACTTTCTTATTGGTTTCCTAGTCTGTTTGTGGATTTATCAATTTTATGTCAAAATGGTGTCTATCCAAATAAAATGGGATATTACGAAGCATCATAAGTTCGATGCATTTTTGAGACTCTTTAAACGTCACCATTTCGGCGTATAGGAATTATATCGTGGGAGGTATTAAATGGTGGTATATATGATAATTTGTGCTGCTGTGTGTGTAAAAAAAGAATTAAAGTTTATGGTGATGAGATAGAAAATCATTAAATAAAACTTAATCAAATTAGCCGTATAATAGAATTAGATAAAAATATTGGATACAATCATCCTAATTAACCTAGCCATTAACTGATTAAATTTGCTGCCACACGTGGTGGATAACTTAACAATTTAGTGGTAGTATAAAGCTAAAAGGAGTCTCTGGAAAATAAATAATAAATTTAGATATAAGCAGATTAAGCTGAAATAAAAAAAAAAAACATAATTCTAAGAAAACGACAAAAATTACTTACACAGATTTATTTCCATCACATTAAATGAGGTCACACTAAAATCAAAAAAATGCATAATTCAAATTTTTCTAACACTCAAGTAGAAATCAAAAATTAATTTTGATCATAGTTTTCCACTACAAACATTACAGATCAACATGGATCCTGAAAGATTATCACAATTTCATTATTGAGAATCATACTCTGCTCTCCATTCTTGGAGAGAACAACGGCAGGCCGAAGCCTCCGCGCCTCACCAACTCTTATCATAGACTGAGGTATCAAATTACTTCCAAAGGGACGCTTCATTATTGTTGCCACCATTCCAATACTTCCTTCCCAAAATCTGGATGTAGGTGTCTCTGCCCTCGAGTTGGAATTTGGCTCTATCTGCTCCTAGAATCCTGAACCATAGTCATGGGAAATTTGGAGACTTGTGAAAAAAATATATTATTAGAATAAATCGTCGAGTGTGAAAAGTTCCGTGGAGTGTGAAAAGTTCTCATCAATGAAGAGTGTGAAGAATTCAAAGTAGAATAAACCTTGGAGTGTGAAAAGTTCTTATCAATAAAGAGTGTGAAGAATTCAAAGTAGAATAAACCTTGGAGTGTGAAAAGTTCTTATCAATAAAGAGTGTGAAGCATTCAAAGTCTATTTAGTGCCTCAAAAATTATTGTTACAATGTGTAACAGGAGGATTCTTCACCAACTACAACAATAACCACCTCATCCAATGTCGGTGCAAATTATTTTCCTTTATAGTACCATACAGGTGTTTTTTCAGTTCTTATAACAACTTTGTAACTATCGGATGACATATTGTCAAGGGCAGCTCTAAATAATCTAATTAACAGATTATGTTGGTTGAAAAAAATTAACTCGCGACAACAATTTTTCGTTTATTGTTATTGTTTAACTGACAATGTTGATTGACTTGATCATTTGTGTTACCCATGAAATAAATTTGCAGAAATAACTGTTCAGTGCCAGGCAATGATAGAGTGACCCGGCACGATGGTAAATTTGCCCTTGCACTTTGAATGTTGGCATGTAATTCTCACACACAATATGCGCAGCACCGAATGACGTTATTTGGAAACACGAATTGTACCTGAATATATTTTCCAAGAAATGTTAAAATTGATTTGCTTGACCCGATAATTGCTTGGTTGGCGACGTTAAATTTGGTAGTATCACTTTTCCTACAGAACAGCAAATTCCAGTTGTTTTATCCTTATCTTTGAGAGCACTACAATGCAAAACATACATAATTGATCTATTTTTCCGATGATGCGGCTTGGATGGAGACTCTTATTAGTAGTTGGATCATTGTGAAGAGTGTATTGGCTGCGTTTGAATAAGCAAGTGAGTTTATTTTCTATTCTTGTTTCCCGTTGATCAGATGTTTCCGACAAATGGGCTATTTAGTGTGATTTCGATCAGTAACCAGTCTTGCTTGCTGTTGCTCAGATGTTTCAGATGAACGGGTTTGAGAGGTGTGTAGTCGATCAATAAACAGCCTTGCTTACCGTTGCTCAGATGCTTTTTTATTTTGTATTTAATTATGTTCAGAGATGCATTTAACTATGGAAAAACATTTGACAATTTCACGGCTGGTTGTAAACACGTTTATTCAAATTCTTTTGAATAACCAATGTTTTTTTGCTTTACCTTTTGTAGCATACGCTTATAAATTAGAAGTCTTCCGACACGTGAGAAGGCCACATAGAGCTGTGGGAAGCATGGCTTTTTCAAATTCAGTCAACATGCTAGTATTGACTGTCCTTGAGCTTTGTTGATGGTCATGGAAAAAATGAGACTCACCTTAAACTGCAAACGATTAAATTTGAATGGCATATCTGTGGAGATCATGGAATGCTTGGTAATAGAAGATCTTTTCCTCTAAGTTTTCCATTTACAATTTTAGCTTCGAGGATATTGGTCATTATTCCTTTCACTGAAAGCCGCTTATCGTGACTAATTCTGGGAGGATTGATATTATGGATGGGAATGATAGATAAGCATATTTTCAATGTTAAATCGTGCGGTGGCATACCTGGCGAATCAAGCGAATGCGAAAACTCAGTTGGGTAGTTTACAACCTCGTTTTGATTTATTACAGTATCAATGGATTTACATGTTATTTACACGCTACCCTTGACGCTGCATCAAAGGCAGGAGAGCCTCCAATGGTGTGATCAACGACGAACCTAGACGAAACTGGAAAATTCATAAATGCAATTTCTTGGTTTGAAAAGTAATAGAACATTTAATATCAATTAGGTGAAATATTTAAGCGAAAAATTTTAATGCTGGATTAAGCAATATTAAGCAATCCATAAACATTAAGCAAAAGCTAGATAATTCCTTTAAAAATGATAATGAATATTTGAATATCTTTGATAAATTTTATGAGATTTTGAAACAGAGCTTGAAAAAAATGTTTCATTAAACTTCAGTATTATTCATGTTGCCTAGAATATGCTTGGATCTTAGTTTTAAAACTTCTAATTAATCCCACTTAGTTTTCTTTAAAAGATTCGAAGCATTATTAATTTTCGATGATATTATCCAGTCTTCATCACTCTCATCTGCAAAAGTGAAGAAGTACATATTTTTTATTGCTTTAAAAAAATATAAAAAATAACTGTGTGTAATGTAAAAGATTTGAATTTTGTGATACATTTAATTAAAGAACAATTGTCTTCACAAATATTCCATGGGACATTTAAAAAAGGAAAATTTAGGTTTTTAAATTGTTTTCTTTTAATTTTTGATGCAATGAAAAATATTATAATTTAGATAAAATTATCCGTAGTTTATTTTGTATTTATTTTTAACTTTGAAATTTTATATATNATATTAAGTTCTTCACAAAAAAAAACATTTTAAATTTAATAAGTCTTATTAGTTTCAGTTTTTGAGATTTATTGGAAAAAACGAATTTAATTCTTCTTTATTGTATGAAATAGTTGTAAAAGAATTTGATTTTGAAATTTCATATTATTTTCCATAAATTTTTTTTTGTTGAAAATTTGAACATCAAAGTTGAAAAATATATTCCTGAAAACAAATAAAAATAATATCTCAAAAATATACATATTCCAAATTTTATAGAGTTTTCACAGTTATTATTTTAAAAAAATATTATTGAATAAAAACGCATTTGAAGCTTAAGCGTTACTTTTCAATGCGAGGAAGAAAGAAAACTTGTATCTTATTTTGCGTTTGGACTGAGATGCAAGCATAGCTTTTTAACCACATAGCTTCATAAAACAAATTTTTTAAGTGTTTAGGTCTTTTACCCCTTTAAATACATAATATAAATTCAGTTTCATTTCATAGAAATTAACAAAATAGTAAGTATATTATTTTCGATTTTTAAAAGCAAAAATATTGCTTAAAAAGAAAAATCACTTATTTTCTACTTCTTGTCCAGTTAAGAAGAATTTAGTTCATTCTTTATAAAATTTCTAAGTTTTAAACCTTTTTAAAAGTATTAACGTGCAACTTCTCTTTTATATAATTTGAACCTAGTAAAATTTCATTAGAAAAATGAGAATCAATCTGCACAAAGAATAATTAAAATGAAAAATAAATTTGCTTCATCGCTTTTATGCTAAAACCTTTAGAAATGTTTGATTATAAGTAAATATTGTACTAAAGAAAAAAAATAATGTTAATCGTTTTTCAAAGAGAAAATCAATCTTTCAAAAAATGAGTTTGCAGCGTAAATAGATCAAAATAAATTTTCTACTTTCTTCAAAAGTGTAGATTTTTTTTCCTTTAGTTTTATCTCAAAACGTGTTTGGAAAAGGTTAAAGCTTTTATTAAATTTATGAATCTTCTTATGCTATCGCAAATTAAACATTGCTAAATTGGAAATATTCGGATATTATGTTTTGAAAAATTGCTTCCTTCCAGATATTTCCAAACACAGTCTTTTTTTTTAATTTTAAGAAATTTATTTTTTATGTAAGCATATTTAATACAACCTTTGCTTAAACAATGATTTTTATTTTATTATGCGTTTCTAAAAGCTCAAATACAATTGTGCAGGAAGAATAGAAATCTATAAGTCTCTTTTGAGATTACTGAAAATGGAATAATTCTGTGCCACACACATTGCTTAAGGTTTAATTGCATCCAAGATATTTAGAATTTTTTGGTCTCAGCATCACTATTATATTTGAAAAAAATTGTTATTTCTGTGACTTCTAATGCATGTTGATGAACAAAAATAATGTAATTTGAAAGTTCTTCTTCCTTTGCCTGCTCTGAAATTTGTCAAATCATCTCTCTGGTTCATATTTGCAGCATCATTCAGGTAAGTGTGTACTCAGATTCATATTAATGATATGAATTATATTTATAAATAGAAACTTTTAGATCTATTTGTTTCGTTTACATATCATTGTAATTAAGGGTCTCAAAATGCCGACCGGCCTATGTGGGGGTTAGGGAATGCATCAGAAAGGTTGTGGGTTCAAATCCCGGGCAAGGCATGGATGTTCTTTCCTTCTCTGCACTATCCGTCCTTACTGTGGGAGCAACGTTGGTGCACCTAATATGGTGCCCATAAAAGAGTGGCCAACAAATCTACACTTCAGATGCCTGTATGACGTAAGTCATTCTCCAGTTGGGCATTGGAAAAAAAAAGGATCACAAAATTAGTTTTTTTTCTGCTTTTTAGTTATGTATGAGCTTATTTTATTTTATTTTGTAACCGTAGTTCAACAGCAGACCCAATTTTTGGGTTTACGACTGCTAATGTTCAACTACGGAGCCTTGAAATTTTGAACACAATCCAGAAGACAGGAGAAAGTTGCCTTAGTGGAGGACTTTGTAATAGAATTTACATGCATTTGCGTTACACGGAGAGGAAGACCCAGAGAATTTACCACAGTTAGCCTGACCACCAGCGGACTCTAACCAATTATCCGTTTGCCACTGAGGATAGTTCACATCAGCACTGTGGTCGGTGCAATCCGGATACGGAATTCGTATCGACCAGGCATCGCAGGGATTCAAGCCCGGTTCACCGCTTTGGAAGGCAAACGCTCTATCCCCTGAGCCATCGCGGCTCTATGTATGAGTTTAGTAATGACAAGAGTAAAATTGCTGATGATATAGTTTTTTTCCATACCATGAAATTTAATAAAAAAAATCATGACACAACTTAAGCCAAGGATTGAATATCTATGCGCTACGTTTCTTTTTAAGTATTCAGGAAAGCACACCCTTACGCATTATTGATAAATGAGAATTATCACTTTCTGATAAAATTTAAGAAAGACGTAATACTGGACCTAATGTTTCCTAGTATTAGATAAATTAAACAAAGAAACAAAAAGCGAAATAGTTCCAAACAAAAGTTATAAGAATTTACTTTTCTGTCGATTATAGCGTTTCAAGTGATAATAATTTGATTAATAATAATACTAGAATCAATGCCATTAATCCAAGTGTACCATATGAGCTTGGAACATTTGCTAATCAAATAAACCATGCACTTATTGAAGGAAGACATTATTCTCACTTTTTCGATGTCTGACCTTATAGTGGTGCTGAAAATGAATCAGAGCAATTTCTGCCGTTTGCCAAATAAAGAGAGAGAATATCTCTGACAAAAGTAAAAATAAATAAAGGGTTTATGATGCAGGAATTCAACTCTGATAAACTAAAAAATAAAAGATA